TAACTTGTTTCCCAAAGTGAATATGAATTTAAGTAGATTACATAACACTCAAAATGAGTTATGCTGGGGAGCGTCAGTGAGATGCTTAGCAGAATAAAAATAGCTGTCATTACATAAACTCACTTCCATTTATGGCTTTTATTGGTGTAAAGGTAGGAATGGCCCGACGTGAAGTGTGGCAGCACCGCATCTCGTCATCCTGGGCTCCAGCAAACCTTAGTTTCTGCTAGAAACCATGCTGCTGATTATTTGGTGGCTCTCAGATGGCTCCTTACGTGCGTCACCGTCGGGCCAAGTCACTCCTCTGTCCAAAGAGGTGGTCCAGTATCTCCTGGATTCTTCAGTCCCAGTGGAGATGCATGTAAAGCTGGAAAATGTGCCATTCTCAACAGGACGTTGGGGTTTCTGTGTGGCATTGCAGCTGTAATTAAAAGGCTTTGGGTTTGTTTTGCAGTGCTCAGCAGGCTTGGGTATGCACACTGAAAAGGTGGTTTTCATGGGCCAGTCTAGCTCTTCTTTGTGGACTATGGGGGTGCGTTGCGGTGTGTCCCACGCTTTGTAATCCTCCTTCATGGTAGTCGTTCCCTGAAAGGGCTTCATGCTTTTCTTAATGGAATGCATAGGTGGCAGGACTGGTTTGGTGCGCTGGCACTTGTGTGCCTTGTAGTCCGCATGTGTTGTGGAGAGGAACTCACTGTGCTCTGCTTGTGGACTGGATTCTTTGGCTTCGCCTTGGCCGTGGAAGTTGGTTTCAAGGGACCGGGTCTTGAATTGCTCAAAGAATTCACTGGCTTTGTCAAAAACTTTGTGTTTATGTCCCAAGCCACGTTTGGTCCCGAGGGAGTTCCATGCTCTAATGGCAGACGTTTGTTGGTTCGGTACACTGGCTTCTCCCGGCCTGTCCTGGGCTGCAGCGGATGGGTGACGTAATCAGACCTGTAGCTGGTGATGCTTTCAAAATGTTGAGGTTCTCGCTCCTGTGGGACTGGTTTAGAGTTAACTTCAACTTGGACGGATTTTTTCTGGAAGCAACCCTCACTGTTTGTGACAACTAATCCTTGGTTCACCTTCAAGCCGTCATGCAGCTTATATGGCCGGCGCATGTTAACTTTCCATGTTCTGAAGTCATCTGGGAAAAAAATAGGAGACACAGAAAGTGGATTTGGATCAGAATGTAAACAGTTTGCCACCTGTTAAATTGATGTTCATCTTTTCCTTTAATAATTGATTATTAAAGCATTACTTTAATATCTATTTCTGAACACACCTTTACAGAATCAAGCTTTTGTGGCAGGCGATTCCAAAGATTTGAACGGTAGTGTGTTGCTTTTAAATTTCTTGCGATGTATGATCTTGAAATTGCTTACGTTTGTACACTGAAATGTAGTCCTCTTCCTTGGATTCCATCTGGTTCGCTCTAGCGCGCACAGGATTGTGTGGAGCGCTGGTGCATTTCTGGTTGTCTTTAGGTGGCTGTGACGCCTTTGGTGGAGTCTTCATCCATTTGTCCACATAGTATGATCTGAAACACACGTAGAAACTGTAAATATTCCAGTAAGGTTCAGGTGGGTAGAGTGCTAGTTGCACTACATCATGGACTATTGGAGCTTCCAGGTGGAGAGACACATGCATCATTCTGCCTTACCCAACAGAAACATCAGTCCTCAGAGGTGAGAGCAAGTCTTCAGTTTAAATAAAGGCAGACTCTGTGTCCAGTGAGATAAGACCAACACTTTATATCCTACCTTGTGTATGTGCTCATATCGGCACTCATCCCCTTCAGTGAATGGTAAGGGTCTCTCTGCATTGAGGTCGAGATGATAGCTGTGTAGCAGCGTGGGGGGAGGAACCTCTCCTGGTACTCTGTGGTCATGGCCCGTGGCTGGGCTTTGTGAGAGTCAGGGAGCTTCCTGGACATCAAGGCAGGGCGAGTTTATAACACGTTCAACAACAAGGCAACTGTGGTTTAACCTTCATAAGACATACAAAGGCATTCAGACAAGGTATTAAATGCAAGGCAATACATGGGCTCAAATACATAATGACTAAAATGAAACAAGATAAATAACTAAAACGTAATCAGTATTTTCTCATCTTTTACAATGATAATCAAGTAGCATATATATCGTTAGGGCTACATAATGGCAGAGCTTTGCAACCTAGTTTTGTTTGCACAAAAATTATATGACCCTATGACCCTACAGGTCATATAATTCTATTGAAAATGTAAAATTTGAAAATACACAAGTAGGTCACCGGCTAATATTGTGTTTTCTAACATTTTTTTAAAAAGCCCAACCAAATTGGTGTCTCGTAAAGAAACCATCAGAAATAGATGACCTCACCTCGTACGTGGGGCATGGTAGCGGCACTTAAGCTCATCAGTTTTGGGCGGCATCGCTCGTGCGGCGGTACGCACCCCGCGCGCTTTCTTTGCGTCCTGTGGCTCGGAGCTGTTGCAGCCTGCTCTGTGACTCTTCGCTGCAGGCCTACAGCGTATGAATTATTGACCGGAGCAACATGGGAGAGTGCGTTGAAGGAGAGCAGCACGCAGCGGCCGGGAGCTTCTAAAAATAAACACCGGTGGATTGCTCTCTTATGCGGTTGTCAAGGAGAGAGCGCGTGATGCGCTTTTTATTTGGAGCGTAAAGAGGATTCCAAACCGGTAGTAAAGTGACAGAAGGTGGAGGAGCCACTTTTGAAAAAGATACCAAGTGGGCCATCAGTGTATGGGCCCCTTGAAAATGAAATGGCAGTTCTCAATCTGTGCAAGATGTTGCTTGTTCCGTTTTGTTTTTTTGTTTTTTTATAAATATGCTGAAGATAAAGGTGCAGTCGGGTTGTGCGTTTTGCAACGTGACTTGGTCGCAGGACTCCATCTGTCACTTTGTGATCATGTCCAAAAGCATGGAGGGAGGGCGCATGCGCACAACACACACCGGGGACTAAAAAAAATTGTGACCCTGTGAAGTGCCCATTCCGCCAACGGATGTTGTCATGGGGATTTTTGCCACGCACAAATGTTGAATTATGGATTTTTGAATCCACATGAGCACGGTCGCTGCGCTGTTTGTCCACTAGATGGCGTCCAAAGCTTAAAAAAGTAGGCTACAGAGAGTCCATTGGGTCCACAATTTTACTTTTGGGTCTCTTATTTGCACCTAACGTTACATTTAAATGAAGTGTTTGATTTGTAGTAGAGAAAAGACAGTGTTTTAAACAGCATCTGTTGAAATCTGGCGTCAGATCAGACTATAACTTTATGGCTGTAAATTAATTTTTTTTTAATTTGCACATAAACTATAGGCTACAACTGCATTAAACCAGAACAGAAATAAAACATGATTTAGCAAAATACATATAAATGCAAGAGAAATAAATGACAATTGGAGACTCACAGAATAATTCAGCATCGATCAGCAGAGTCATAAAAAGAAGACAAAAAATAACCAACTCTTGATAATCTGTAGTTTGGGATTCATAGCCTATTGTTCACCGTGATATCTGGCTGTGTCTGGTTTTACAAAAAGGAAGGAACGAATTGTAGAGTCGAGTGGTTGTGTTCAAAGTACCTGTAAGTCAAATACACATTAGTACCTGCATTGGGTGAAGTTTCTACAGTTTACATAGTGAAACTGGACATACTGCCCATCTGTCGTTTTTAACAAAGGCTCTGCACTCACAAACGTGTTTTCAGTTATTCTGGCTCATTGACCTCTGCTCATGTTGAAGTTGGGACCCTAACAGGTGAGTGAGGGAGATGTCAATCAAGCAACCTGAAGAGGCAGTCCAAGTGTGTACTTTTGCGGACATTTTCCTCCACTGGATGTGGCATTTAACATCTCTTCACCTGGAAAGCAAATTTCCCAGTACTGTTAGTTTGATTTTGTTCCAAATGACATGCCAGAGATATTATAATGTCTGTTTTTATAATAACCATTAGCATAATGGACTCGACCCATGTGAGAGGGGCAGGCATGGATTTAATGAAAGTAGCCTACTGTTACTAACTTATTCATAAATCAAATCATTGTAGAAAACATTTTGGGGAGCACAAAAGCGGCAAAAACTGCCCTGATAAATGGCAAGTCAGATCCGCATGGATAACTCAAACCTCTGTGCAGTTGTGCTTGTGCATACCGATTATTTTCTCAGTGATTTGGAGTGAAGATGATATTTTCAAAGAGAAGCATTAAAATGCAAACAGGGCTGGAAAGAGGAAGATCGGGATAAGAAGCCAGAAGTCTGGGGAGGTTTATGGATATTTGAAGTCTTTCCCCATTAAAGATTTCTGACTGCGTATGAAAAAGTACTTCTCTATTCAGTGTCACCAGAATCACTCCAAATACATGTTGGCACCTTGAAACGGGTGAACAGAGCAGAGGGATAGATGTTGATGGTGCTTAACTCTAGCTCAGATTAAGAGTCTGCACATTCATTTCAAATCCCAGCCTCCAGCCTCTGTGCATTAACAGAAACACTTGTATTGATGCTTGTGTAAACCAGACGGTTTTGCCGAAAGCCTAGTACATTAGATTATCATTGTGCCACCATTCAGACACGCTGTTCATTCATTAATGTGGGTTAGAATTTATGCAAAACTGGTTAGACTAATTTTCCATTCTGCATTTCTCAGTGTCAGTGTTTTAGATCGGAACCCTGCGTCACTTTGTCAGAATGACCAGCTGTAAAGACGAGTTTTATCCCCATGCCCTTTTATTTTTTTTGCCATTATCATGTGATACTGTTGCTTGTGCGCATTGTCTGCTGCTGCGCTAACCAAACCCACGAAGTAGATATGAACTAATTTCAGAATACAAGGCATCAAAGGAGGGCCACAGACTGTGGGGTCGCTGAACGCCAGCATCTCTGTTTGAGCGCTGCTTTGGCTCTCATCTCATGATGTCTACTGAACACAATTAATCAATTTTAGTGAGTGCGTCCATCCACCCAAAAAGAAAGAGATCTTTTAAGATTTTCGTGCGTTTTTACGCAGCGCCATGGCCAAAACCAACCTGTTAAAGTTGCCCTACAGTGGCTGCAGAAATTTTAATTCTTCCTCATACAACACGACAATTCCATGCTGATCTATTATCTTAAAAGTGTTTGCCATCTTGCTAGTGCTCATACAGTGAACCACACTTTCATAAAACGCATCTAACTGCCTCTTTACGCAGCGCCCCGTTGTTCTATAACTGGAGATATGACAGGAGTACAATACAGCCTAACTGCACATCATGTCAACAGCTCGGCTGTAAGAGCTCAAAAGGAGCAGGTCAATAAATTATGTTAATCAGTCGGGACAGATTGGAGGCGTGTTGCTGTCGTAATGAGGGGGAGCATGCCTGCACCGTGGTGGAAAAGCTCCGAGTGGTAAGGCTGTCTCCGCTACATGCGCGCTGCCTTCTATTTCCCCAGCCTCTCTTTCTACTTTATTGTGCGTAATAGCAATTTCCTCTGCAGTAGACTACTGTGCAAGGCTCGGTGCAACAAGTTTGCAGGAGCCAGAACACGCCGTCAGACAGGTTGACTTGATTTGGCTGGAGCGGAACTGTCTGTCGCTGTCACCACAAAGTCACTGTACGTGAACGCCGCGTCTCACACGCACTCACTCACTCACTCACTCAGAACAGTGTGCCATAAATTCGTGACTCGGCGCCAGATGCAGTTTGCTTCCAACAGCGCGTGTAGTTGTAGTTAAATGGAGATCGCGGAGGCAAGAGGAGCATCCAAGTGCTTGGAGAAAATGGAGAAAGAAGCGGCTCCTCGGAAGCGACAGTATTGGCGCACAACAGTGCTGAACATAATCTCGTCTGTATGTTCAGTGGCGTCCATCGCCTTTTGTATTTTTCTGAGCATGAACACGGCTGATATTAAGAACCGGGTTGTGGATTTGGAGAGTGGGAACGGCGAGCACACCTTTATCCGTGCCCCTGGCTACTCCATGGATGATTTTAATTCACTGATTGAACAAAGAGTGGATGAGCTGCTCTCTCAGGTAAGATTGACTTTTGCACTTGCTCCCCCTTAAGTTAATTGTTTTTACCTGCTTAATTGCCCATGAAGGGGACCATATTTCAGTAACAGCTGAACAGATACCCTTCACCCAATACTTTGATTTTATTGAAAGCATCATGTGCAAATTAATGTAAATGGAATTCTTTTAAAATTTCAGCGCTCCTACGAACATTTTGTCAAGATTCGCACTGCAAGAGAAGCGTCACCTGAATGCAACTGCCCGCCAGGTAAATGAAAAGTACTTTCTCCAGTGCACTCTGGACATGTGGGTGTCTGTCGGTGTGACACTGGATTTGAAGCCTGTTTGAATAAGACCACCGTTGATACAGGAATAGATGGAAGCTTTCGTAACCCCGGCCTTTTAGTTTATTTCATTGAAACCGTTTGCACATGACAGTTTGCCTGGATAGTAGTGTTGATGGTTTGGGGAGGTCCTGCTGTGAAGGATGCAGACAGCTGACTGGCCCTTTAACAGAAAGAAAGGTATTTAACAGCGGTCTATACATAGAGGCGCTGAGATGTTGTTTGGCTTGTGATGTTGCCTGCTCACTCACAAAATAAAACAAGCTTCTTGAAATTCACATTTCCCACCAGTAGATGGAAACATTCATTCCTTCAGCATTCTGATCATTTTGGGATGGAGTCAGGGTTTGGTGAAGTAAGTGCATCAGTGTTGGGAGATGCTGCTGTAGGATGTTGAAGGGGGCTGCTGCACAATTTGAGCATGACTGTTACAATTTTATTTTTTAACTTTTAAATGATACCATTTACTATTTTGCATCATTGTCAGATATCAATGTTGCTCCTGAATGTGTGATTGACAGCTCCAGTAAGAATTATGGGGGGTAAAACGAAATGTTAATATATATACAAATTGCCACCACATTAGCAAGTATCCAATTCTAATGTACAATTGAGATGACTGTGCAGTTTAAGATTTGAATGTTTTCTCCCTGTTGTTACATCAACTAAGAGTGGTGAACATAACACATTTAAGTGACTGAATCTCGATTTATATCTTAAAGGATGATTTTCTTTTTCATTCTGGAGTAGGCATGGCATATCATCTCTGTCAAAATGAAAACCACATGTTTTTTTTTGGCCCTCCATCTTAAGCTAAATGAACCATTTAAAAACCCATTGGATCAACCGAAGTTGACAACAAGAAAGTTTTTCTTAGCTCATAAAAGGTTTGACATTTTGGAGATACATGGTTTTCATAGAACAGCGAGGATATGTGAATTTCTTTAAGATTCCACCAGACATGAATATTTACTGTCAACTTATCTTTATCTATCTCAGTGTAGATAAAAGGAGTGCTTCAAATCAGAATGGGGAGTAATATCTTGCCTTTGTAAACAACACGTTAATGGTACATGGTAGTAACAATACCAGGCGCTCTCAGTGTGTCTGGCAGAAGGCTGTCTGTGTGACTGCACTGCTGAACCACTAAACTACCTGCTGCAGAAAACAGACATGTTATTAAAACTTTTTAAAGTTTGATGAAGAGGGATCTGTGCGCATCACAGCCTCAGGCAACTCCATCTGGCAATGTGATACAGTAAGTAAGTGTGAACATATACTGTCGGTGACCTCTCTGCAAAGGTCATAGTTGTGACATTGTGCAGGCTAGCCTTGTGGCTGGATCTTTGGATGGACAATCCAGGCGTCAGAAAGCATCTGTGCTGCAGGAATGAAGTGTCCTTGGACACGATGCGGGAACCTTACGAATGCCAGGGACTGTTCTGCTGTTGTCCCTGACTTCTGACCTCTCTGTTGGGGGATATCAAAAAAATCCCCCCCACCCCCTACCAGGAGTATTACATCCATCATAATCAGACATAGGTGAAAGAAGAACCAAGACAGGTGAGATTAATAAACCTAAATGACCCAAATGTCTTAGTTTTCACAAGTGGTTTATCAATTGTGAATGACTCATCTGAGTGGGAATGCCTGAATTACTAAGCCAGAAGTACTGGAAGTATTAACCATAATGAGACTCTCACAATCATGCTTCTCTCTGTTCTCAATCCATATCATATGTCTGCCATTTATTTTCTTCCACCACATTTCTGCAAAGGGCAGAAACAAAACAATGAAAACATTTCACATCAAATGAAGCGCAACAACGCTATAACCAAGGCGGCACTGGCACTCTCAAATTTGATTTTTTTTTCATGTCCAGTACTTCAGTAATCCAATAGTTTTTTGAATTACGGTTAAATACAAAACACATATATCATCCTTATACTTTGAAGAGTCTATAGTGTATTTAATAGTTAGTTAATGTTTGTTACACATGCAACTATTACATAGTTTGTCAATGCCTGGGAGTGGGTTTTTATATTATATTGGGCCAAATATCTTTATACCGTACGCATGCTGAATGGGTTTGCTCAATATTTATCCTCTCTTATGTCTAGGAGACAGCCCCTGGCTCAGATGTGGCTTTTTTCTCTCTTTGAGGGGAGGACCGTAATGTGCTTTTCACAGTCTTCACTTTCTTTCTGTCAAAGAAGATGGAGTAGTTGCAAAGACAGAGCAATGGTCCATAGCTTGAGGATATTTTATGGGTTGCTTCTGAATCAGAGGAAGTTTGCTATCTTTTATCAAAGAAAGTCTGTCATGAACTTCACGTATATTTTATTCATGCCGATGTGATTCTTGGTTAATGAAGGTGAAGTTATTTTTTTTATGGTGCCATTTGTCATTCTAACAGTATCTGGTGTCGCTGTCGTGTAGCACTCAGTTATTAGCTTCAGAGTGACTAAAAGCATTTTCACACTTTAGCTGTGATAGTGTCTGAACCTAGCCACATTAGCGGTGTGGCTCTCGGAATGGCAAAATTGGTGTGTGGTCATCAACTTTAATTCATACTGAAATATCTAGATGGATTAGATGAATTGCCAAAATTTCAGTTTGTCTAATAATTTAGTTTATGACTATTTACAAAACTTATATACTTTGCGTCACTGTCAGCTGTACTTTGTGTTCAGGCCTATTGTAAAATGTTAGCATGCTAACACACTAAACTATGATGGTAAACATTAGCATGTAAGAATTTGCATTGTGAGCGTTTTAGCAGAGCAAAGCTCACTGTCATTCTGCAACACTTCCTCATACCTAAACAACAAAATAGATCGATTGTCAATTATCCCAAAACAACATACAGTATATGACTGTTATATAAGTACAATGACCTATATTACTGTTCCCCAAAACAACATGTACAAGCATTGGAAGGTACCAGTCCAGCGACAGGCGTACCAGACCAGAAGTATGTTACATAAGTCACATGATGTTAAACACGTTGTAAACGTTGTGAAACAGTTGTAATTTGGTGAGGTTTAGGAAACAAAACTTCTTGGTCAGGTTTAGGAAAAGATCCTGGTTTGGGTTAAAATAAATACATTATGTCACATGACTTAACTCCCCTACGAAACGTTATTTAACTTAAAATAAGTCAACTTCTGTCACACGGGGCTTGAACCCCAGTTTCCTGAATGCAAGTCCTGAATGTACTTGACCCATCCACCCCACCCATCTCCTTAACGGGACTTTGTCACTTTTTTTGTCACTCTTTTGTCACCTGACTTCCTCCTTTGAAACTGTCATGTGGCCACCAGACAATAAACAATAAACGTAAAAATGGGTCGTAATAAGCTGCTGTACATTTGACCTATTTGTCCTCATTGTGGGTTTAACCCTAGTTTGTTTCTCTGGTCTGCACCCTGAGTTTGAAAATCAGTTTTTACACCACACATTTGCTGAAAATAGTATTGGGTCTAGGGGGAAAAGCAAACCTGTCTAACCAAGTTGGTTTGAAGTCACACCCACTCAGTATACCACACCGTGAAACGAGTCTCCTTCTAATAATTGTTTCAGCATTGGCGGGCAGTTTTCTTTTTCATTTTTTTTGTGTACCTGCTCCTCCCCTGGGATCTGCATTCCTAGCAGGGCCTGTTGTTTAATGGGACTATAATAAAATGTGCAGTCAGCAAGCACTGGTGCCCCCCCCCCCCCCCACATCCCCTTTTCCCCACTCTGCAGCATTTCTTAAAGTTAAAAAAACCTGGAAGCTAAACACTGGCCAAAGGGCTCGCGAGAAAACAGAACAACTTGCGGGACTTTATTTTTCCCTCCCGAAGGGCAAAGGGGCATGCAGCAATATCTGTTTGGCTTGCTTTGTCAAGTCCAGATTTGATTCACTTCAGTAGAGGCAAAACTACACAAACACAGCCCACAAAATTCTCAACTAATCACTCCTTTTCAACTCCTTGTGGCCAAGCTGGGTTACTCTCCCCCTTTCCGCCTCACGAAGTGTGTAATCCCAGTGGCCTGATACAATTACAGTTGTGCCAATCCCCTCAGATATCCACAACTCAGTGGGCAACTGGTAATTAATCACTGACAGCTTTTGAATTTAGCCCTCTGTGTGGTTTGGTGCTGGGAGGTGCCCTAATGGCCATGTAATTACTGAGTGCTAGGTAAAGCTAAGCAGACTTCCAGGTAGCCACTGCGGCCAGCTGCTTTTAGTTAGGTGGATCAGGTTAGGCTGCTTTTGTGAGCAAGTGAGGCCGGAGACGAAAGACGGAGCCTGGGAAACCTGGGAAACGGTGAATAGGCAATTGTGATTCTCATTGCTGCTAAATTGCTTAACAGGATGTCTACATTTACATCATGAGCATGATGTACTGTACACAGTGAATAACATCTTGCAGGGATCTTTTTATGCATGAAGAGCTTGACTCATTCAGCTCAGATCTTACATCGGTCCCAATAAATTAACATGATGTGGTTTATCATGATGAATCATCAGAAGTGGTGCAATTGCCCTAATTTTCAATTCTCACACAAGGTTTATTATAAAGGGCAGGATGCTGGAAATAGCACAGATGCCCTCTTTATACCTTTGACACAGCAGTTTTTATGGGAGATGATGAGGCATGTTAGCTGAAAGCACTGGTATTGACTGAGGGGATTGAAAGGGTGGCACGCTTTCAGTCCTTTTACTATACATTAACCTGGGACACTGAATGAAGATGAGATGACATGATTTTTATATGAGCGATGTCACAACAGCACTCCGCTGGAGACTGAAGTACTTCAGGCTGGGAGAGTGGGGACGGGGCCAGAAGAATGGAGGGGGAATCGAAAATTGTGCCTAATGGTTTGTCTCATGTGTCCTTGAACATTTCCTGGCACTGATCCTTAATCGTCATTTTGTGTGGAATAAAGCAGGAAGCTTGGAGATCCTGTCTTGGCTGCATCTACATTTACTACTTGGAGTTCGATCAAGGGGGGTTTCCATCACCACTATATAACAGCACACCCCACAATTGAATAAAATAACTGTCTCCCGTTTTTATTTGGCATTCATTTGCTCCCAAAATAGGCTGTTTTTATGATAAAATGTTTTCCCTTTCCCTTTGCACTTTCTGCGTCATCTTAGCATAAAGTTGGACAGGAAGATTT